ATGGGACCCGGTGGGGAGTTACAACCTAGAAGAAGGCCCTCACCAAATATGCCCCCTGGACTGTGGACATCCCAGCCTCCAAAACTGTAAGAAATAAATTTTGTTCTTTATATATTACCCAGTTTCAGGTACTGTTATAAGCAACAGAAAAAAGACTAATTCAGTGAGAAAGGAATAACACTATATAGTTACAGTTTTATTTAGCCTTATGTGTCCTATAACTTTAATTTACTCAAATATATGTACATAAACTCAAAAAGAAGGTATGCATCCTAACTAGAAAGCAGGATCGTCACCAAGGAGGTGCATTTTACAAAAGAATTTTATGGTAAATTCTTTAAAAACAAATCTGTCTCTCATATTTCTAGTGGACATATTGATAAAAAGTTAATAAAACAAAATTATCAAGCAAATGTGTGAAATATCTCATATTTTAATAAAATTATATATAAAAGTACTTGTTTTCAATTTTCTCAAGACAGGAGATAGGTAAAGAGGACTGGACCAATTCTTTTAATGAATTCAAAATGAAGGTTTAATGCAAAGATTTGTTCTGAGTTTTTCTAATTTAATCCAAACACTTTGGAAATCTTTTATTTAAAAATATATAACTTTAGAAATGACCAATCATTGGTTACTTGTAATTAGTTGTGAGAATGTAAAAAGAAAAAGTGGATTAAAAAAATAAAAGCATTGGAACCATTAGGATCACATGTAGGAAATGATATGACAAAAAGAGATGCTGTCCTCAGGCTGACTCCTTATTTAAGAGGGTCCTATATATATATAATTTGAGCTACTAGGAGAATTATGATGATGACTACTCATGATTTAATTTAGGAAATCATTTCTATCTGTCTTCTTACTATACTATATCAAGGTGTTGTTCCCCAACAGAGATAAAGGCCAAGGAGAGAATGAGGCATGAAAATGACAGACCCAGATCATAAGTATATGTGGCTGGTGTCTGTATGGCTTATTTCCATACCCTGTTACTAAATAGGGACTGTTATCTCCACTTCTAAGAACAATTTTATCATCGTATTTATTAGGAGATTTAAAAGAGTTTTTTTTGCTGTATTTTACAAGTATGTATAACTGAATTTCGGAGAACATTATTTATCAATGAATACATTAGTATGTAATATGCAAAATATCATTTTTAATATTGTAAAACTTTCTAAAAGTGACATATCAAATTATGTATATACACAAAACAAGATGTAGATTATTTTTATCAAGAACACTACCTATTTTCACAAGTTATTTTACTTTTCTAAAGCTGCTTTATTCTATGCGTATTTGTTTATTGGTCTTAATTCCTTCAATTTTTTTCTTTCCTTTTCTTTGAAACCATTTTATTTTTATAGAAAATTTGCAAAATCAGTATACAGTATTTTTTCTTTTTAATACGAACCATTTAGAGTAAGTCGACATGATGCAAACTATAGTGTGTATTTATGGCAAACAAAACATGCTCCTACATAAGCTCTATGAAACAATCTAATTGCCATGTTATCCACAGACTCTCACACTCTTGTCAGGCTGCTGCTGGGCCCATTCCACCCCCATTTATGGCAAACAAAACATGCTCCTACATAAGCTCTATGAAACAATCTAATTGCCATGTTATACACAGACTCTCACACCCTTGTCAGGCTGCTGCTGGGCCCATTCCACCCCCATATAGATGCCTACCTTTCTCAGATGTAGAACTTAATTATTAAGAGGAAAAAATGAAGGAAAGAAAGGAAGAAGAAAGGAAGAAAAAAAGATTTTGAGACAGAGACTGTTAAAAAAGGAAGAACTTTTCTACAGTTTTCACTGAATGTGTAGCATATAATTTCTTGCTAAATTTTGGCTCTTAATTTATTGCCCTTTGGAAGTAAGGTAATCTGTTACAGTGTAAAATACCATATGCTAAATGATCTCAACCTTTACTAGGTCAAGTAGGCTAATTAAATATTGAATTGTGATATTTAGATTTATTTTAAATATTTAAACTTCTATATAATATTTCCCTTATATTTTATTTAAAATCACATTATACTTTTAGTGTTTGGGTTCTGCAGCAAAGATTAAATTTTACACCAAATATTTGTTTTAAATAAAAGGGTCCCATCAAAGATTGATATTTATAAATATTGATGTTTAAATGTATGTTTGTTATCTGGGGCTCAGAATCTAATTCATTTTGATATCTTTATTACAATTTCAATTGAATCTACCTTTTTAAAAAACACATTTTTAGACTGGAATTGTACAAAACTTGGAATATTAGTAGACATGCAGTATTCAAGAATATTTGCAAAAGCATTTTGACTCTTAGCTTAAATGAAAATTTTTAATTTTATTATGATTGGCCAGAGGAAATCCCGCTAATTTAATATCTTCATTAGGGGGGTAGGCATAAAATATACTTTCCAATGAAAAATATTATAGTTAGTATTGTGATATAGGAGGGTGCACATACATAAAATATTTCCTGTGAATTTAATGGGATTGTTTAAATCTCATCAATATAATGTTATATTTTTTATATTTTTTTCCAGGATTTCAAACTCTTAAACTATAAAAACAAAAACAAAAACTTGTATTTATCAAGTTGTACCTGATAGATATAAAACTACACAATTTCTAAAATGGCAATATATAAAAGTGTCAATTTTAATAAAATTAAATATTCATGTATTGATCATATATCAAGTTATTTACAAAAAGCTCATACTAATTACAAGGAAATTTGCCTAATTTCCTAAGGCTTGAAACTAATATGAATAGTGAATGCTTCTTAACAGTACAGATGATACTTCTTATTATTGATGAATTTTGATGAGACTTAGCACATTTCATTTTCCTAGAATTTAATTTGCTTGTATAATGACTACATTCTAGTCTTAAATGTGGAGAACCTACTTGTCATGATTTTCATTGAAACTGATTTCATTGAAATTGATTTTTCAGTAACTTCATGGTAGACAGTAAATATTAGTTTTATTTCCTTCCATTATCCCTTGCTCCCTCCTGCTGTTGTGAATCTCTCTCTTTTTAATTTTTTCATCTCTGCCCCCACCCCTCAATTCCTACCACAGAATCTCTTCTTCTGCAATGTAGTAAAACTTGAATTGGAGAATAACAGGTTTTCCAAGTTATGTAATAATGTGAGTATTATGAGCTTAGTGAACTTTTAAAAATTTCCATTGTGGCCTTTACAACCAATGACATTACTTTCGAGAATACATTTATATAGCAGTAAAAACGACCGTCTTTCATGAGTTAATATAAGGCTACAGTTAAAGATAAGAACTCTACTGAGAAAATGATTTAATATTTATTCACATAAGTTATTTATTCTGTTAAAACAAGGCTATCCATTTAGCTCACTGGGTTAGAGAGTGGTGATAAAAACACCAAGGTCAAAGGTTTGGATTCCTGTACCCGACTGTCACCAAAAAATTGTAACACTTACAGTAATTTTTGCATATTTTCCCACCTAGTCGTAGGAGAGACCACATCACATTCTTCCATCTAAGCTACACAAATTATAAGAAGTGTATTTTTAGATACCTTATCGGTATTGTAAAACATATACATAGCAAAAAAACATAGCTGGATTTCTACTTAAAATTAATTTTTACTCTACATGTTATTAAATTTTAGGGGCAAAACTAGAATGTTTTTATATACACAAAAAACATTTTTCAGTAAAAGTTATACACCTTAAATTTTTATTTTCTTCTCAAACTAAGATGACTGTAAACTTTCAAGTCTAGAAGTTTAAAATAGATTAATGATAGTTCACTTTTTTTCCCTCAGGGTATTTTTTATTTTTTTAATAGGAGTCTTACATTCCTTGAAATATAATTTAATTTCTTAAAATATACATTCCCTTCTTTTTTCACAAACATCTCATTTATGAAGTTGTGGAAATTGCAATCAAGGTTTAAAATAATCTTGATCAATAAATACATTTTAGGTCCTCATTATATGTAACGCACAACTGTTCCAAGTTTTTAAACACTTGCTCTTTCTTTTGAATAATAACCTGTATCATGACTTATTAAAATGCATAAGATATTCTTTGTTAGCATTTAAAATTAGATGATGGTATTTTTATCAATTTGAAATTTTATTTGCTTATAGAACTATTTTATGAGATCTTAAAAATTATTGTGCTATACTTACCAGCCAAAGCAAGAATATATTCTTGAAATCTTGTTCCTATACGGTTAGTGGCTGTGCAATTATATCGTCCAAAGTCATTGTCAGATGTAGGTGCAATCTAAAATAATTATAATAATAAAAGTTACAATTCTAAAACATCACAGAAGTTTTCAGATAGATTCAAGTGTGCCTATTATTTGCCCATGTGTTCAATTATTCACTCCAAAACTCCTTGTCATAACTTTTTTCTTTATCAAGTAAGCATTACTAAGTAATAAAAATCCTTTTGAGATGTATCCATGAACCTATGCTATCCACAGAACTAGATGAATCATAGCATATGTATTAATTCATTAAGTGGATAAATGTCACCATTTTGATGCATCTATTGCATAGCAAAATCATTAGATCGTCCTATATGCACAGCTCAAAAGGTAGTACACACTGTGAAAAAAAAATAGATTTCAGTCAATGCAGATATAAATTTCAAAACAAGAAGCTATCATCACACATTGCAAACAGGTATTGATATTCAACTATATACCCAACAAATATGCATAATCAATTACGTTCAATAAAAAAAATTAAAACCCCCAAAAACAACAACAACAACAACAACAACAAAAAGAAGTTTGTACCAAAAACATTGTTAATTCTGTTTTCAACATTTCAATCTACGACCAGGCAGTTTTAAAGTTCAAGAAAGGCTCAAAATATGTGAGATTTCTTTCCCTTTCGAGTTTATTGAACATAAAATACTAACAAAGGATGAGGAACTATTCTAAAAAACATTTTTTTGGGAAGGCATTTTCAAGAAAATGTTGCCCTTGTGCTACAATCCCCGTAGACAGGCACTTTTTCTTGATACGTAATAGCAGTATCTTGCCTCCATTTTCATTCAATTCCTATTATTCTCTTTCACTTTAGGTGGAAAATCGCTGACCTCAAACCTTACACATTTGAAATCCATAATTAAGTTAACCTTGGGGGATACTATCGGTGAACATTGGGACCAACCCTGTAATTCTAATGTACAGAAATTCTGAAGTATCAATTGAGAAAAGTGATTTGATGATAGTAATAGATATAATTTTCTATCCCAGTAACTATTATTAAGAAAGAATATGCTCACAACAAGAGTTGCTGTTAATTTAAACTCTGTCCCAAAAGAGGGAAAAATGATTTTGTGGTAATGGGAGGATATTAACTAAGAGTGCAATTTTGAGGTCCATTGAAGATGGTAATTCTGAAAGAGTACAAAAAAGCTGTGTCATTCATTTTCTAGTCAGCTGTCCATCTAGGAACAATCATAGGTTTAAGGCTTAGGAGTTTTAATGGCTGTTATGTAAGTATTCCTTAAGTGATTCAAATATTTATTTTTCTTACATGCAGCTTTTAATAAACTAGGTTAATTTAACTCAAAAATAATTTTACTAATGAGAAAGGAATTTAACAAAAGAAAATTTTCTTATCTTACAGGCATGTAAGAAAGTTATTTGTATATTCCAAAGGGAAGAATGCATCTGCTGAATCAATACAATGCAAAGACAGGATAGCCACAACAAAGAATTGTGACTATTGCACAGCTCCTTAAGATTAATAATTTAAACATAGCCATTTTCAGTGGAATGGTTTTTACAAGGTTTGATTCATTTTTTTTTTCTTTTGTTAATTCTGAGAGTTCAGCTATCGATTGATACAAGCTTTACAACTCCACATTAAATAAGTAATTCCTTTTTTTTCATGTTGTGTGGTTAACAAATAGAGAAAATACCTGTCATAGCACAGATTTTAAAAAATAAAAACAAAACACAGCTCTAGACGTATCCTGGCCAAATCACAAACTCTGAAGCGTATTTGGTGTAATCTAGGAAAGCAGTATGAAACTAAAGTCTAGTAGTGGTAAGACACTCAAACCCAACACAATAAAATATTAGATAATTTTATCGAAATATAAGATAATACACCCAAAGTTACATTATAACGCATTAAGTAAAAAATATGTCAGTGTTTTAAATGTGCAAATCATTGCTGATATTCATCTAGAAAATATTAGGCACATCTACCCATAAGACAATTTCTTCATATTTAAATACGCAGTTTTAATAAATTCAAGTTAATTTATGATGTTAGGCTTTGAAGAATATAATGCATGAACAAATATAGTTTTGAACATCAAAATAAACTGAGAGTACAAAGTTAATGAAGAGGCTTACTAATTTTTTTCTAAGCCTTCAAAAAATTGATTTCCTCTTTCTATGTATCCCATGGTGAAAAAATCATGTATTTAACAGTCAGCATTCATACTCAAGACAAGGAACAATAATACAAATGATCCAAAACAAAATATTGTTCCGACCAGCCTATTAGAAACTTCTTGCAGTCCATTTTTGCTCAAAAATTGAAAAGTTGTGTTATTATCTAAGGTTGTGTTCACATAAAAAATAAAAAAAGGTTTTCATGATCTTTCTTTGTGGATACATTTATTGGGAGTAACCCACAGAGTACACATAATAGTTGATTATATTTTAAAATTCATAAATTTAAAAGTTTGAATATGTATATATTTAATCAAAGAAAAAGGAAAAACTCCAAAATCACTTAATTTATTATTGATCCATTTATTATTAAGTGTAAACTTGATTGTTTTCTGTACTTTATTATGTTTTTTAGAATTTGCACATATGTGCATATCATAATAATTATTATGAAAATAATTTATTATCCCAAGCAACTATGTGTGCTAGTAATTAATAATTAGTAATGATTGTTATTGCTTTTTATTTTTTTGTTATCATTATTTTGTTGTAGTTTCTTTTCAAGTTGTGTTATTTACACATTTATATTTTTTATTCAGGATGTAAATGTAATTCATGTAAAACAGTATACACTTAAAAAGTGTATTTTCAAAATCAATGCTTTGACCAATTTGACTATTTGTAAGGTAAACAAAAATTACTTATTTTTTACTTCGGGGTGTGGAAGAATGTCATTTAGGCAGATGCTCAAATAACATGAGATTTTTATATAAATAAAATATTCAAATTTTATATTTATAAAATATTTCTTGACATTAACGATGAAGGATTATGAGTGGTCCCAGAAACTCCAAAGTGTCAAGATGAAGTAAAGCAAAAATTATATATTAGTCTGTCATTTAAGTATAAACTTAAAATCTACCGATTATGGACTAAAGTGCCCACCACCCCTCCATCCACACTTCATGTATTGACACCCTAACTGCCATTGTGAATGTATATAGAGATAGGGCTTTTAACGAGGTAATTAAGGAACTGACATTAGAGCGTTTTCTCTCTCTCTCTCTCTCTCTCTCTCTCTGTGTGTGCGCGTGTGGCGTGCGCGCGCGCCCAGGGAAAAGGGTGTGTGAGGACACAACAGGAAGGTGGCCATCTACAAATTGAGGAAAGAGTCCTCTCCAGAAACCAACCTTGCTGGCACCTTGATCTTGGAATTTCAGCCTCCAGAATTGAGAAAATAAATTTCAGTTGTGTACTATTTTATTATGGCAGACCAGGAGATACACTACCCCAAACCGAAGTTAAATCTAATCTCAGTTTTTAAGTAAAGCAACAACCTAAAATTAAGGTTAAATCTGCCCAAATGTCTGGGTGAAATGACAATTCCAAAGAAACTGATTTAAATTAAAACTGATTTAGACAAAGTAGCTTATTTACCAGTCAGCTATTCAAATATTTGAAGATAGGATGACAAAATCCTTCTATCAACCAAACATTTTACTAAGTCCCATTACCAGTAGAAGAGCTGTGTAGCACCAACGAAAATACCCAAACTTAATGAAGTACAGATATGAGATATTATACTAAAACATATCTTTATTTAGTTTATACTAAATTCATGGGGAAAATGTAGCATCTTTTCAGCTAAAGAAGGCTGGATGCAGAAGATTTTCACTTGTTCATAAATTGGAAGGGCTGATGATCATTGTTATAAACTTTGGTAACTGACACATGCACTGCACACACACACACACACAGAGACACATACAATCTGCAATTAATAAATAAGAAGAATTTTATTCAAAGAGTATTTAAAGGCCAGTCACTTGGCAGTAAAAAACAATTATCCACAATATTAATTTTAAAAATAAAATAAAATGAGTCAATAAATAAGTAAATTTCATTTATTTAAGAACATAGACTAGAACTTTAAATATGTTATCAGTAAATAGCATTTGTATGTGCCAGTCTGAGGAAAACAAAGTTATAACTGCAGAATCAATGAAAGTGTCAACGTGAAGTTAAAGTATTCGCCGTCAAGAACTGCTGAATTATTAACTCCCTCTCCTCACATTTTTCCTGATACAATTGTTTTTTCTTTACAAAAGAAAATTCATGAAAAATAATCGTCTTTTCTATACACCCATATTTCTATATAAGTAAATACTGAGACATTAATAATTAATGGTCTATGATCTACATGCATAAAATTGATCTATTTTAAGTAAATAAATATGAAGTATATACACTAGAATTTCAATATATGTGTATATGAAGGCATTTAAATATATTCTGAAATAGTACACAACCGCTAAAATAATACAATTTATTAATGTATACATGAAGACTTACCTCTAATATCACCTTCCTTCCTGCGCTATATGTCTTTAAGTTAGTGGTGTTTTTAGCTGGTAAAACTAATTTCTCTCTTCTCCAGTGGATTGATGCTGGTGGATTTGATTTCACATCACAGCTTATATTGATTGGATTTCCTTCCCAAGAGTAATAAATTGTTTGGTTTGATATAAACTTGGGAGCATCTGTAAAATATAATAAAATATTTATAGACCTTTTCTTTATGATAAATAATCATGTAATTAGTATATACATTAGTAATTTTTATTTGACTGTAAGAAAGAGGTTGTAACAATTCAAATTTCATATATTTAATATGTGGTACCAGAACTTATGAAAATACATGTTATTTAAATGTTTCATTACATAATTCTATATCATTAATATGAGAACATTCAAATCTGGTCAATTATTAAAAGATAAAGGAACATTCAGAATTAAATTTGTTCTTAATAATCTGACAAAAATATCCATCGCTTAAACTGATGACTGTCTACATGTGTAGAAACTTTTTTTCGAACAACCCACATTATAAAGTGAGAGGTTAGGATGAAACCTAATGAACTCAATGGTTCTTGTGTCATTTTTTAAACTTGTCCTGGACATAATAATTTCGTCCATAAAATATTTTGAATAAGCAGGTATAAAATCTAAGTTGAAATGGCAACTTTGCAACTAAATGACGATTTTTTAAAAGTATCCACATTTCCAATTTTTATTAAACCAGACATGTTAATTAATAAAAAATAATTTGAAAATTAATAAATTCCTTTGACTCCTTATCAATTTTCATTTCTCTAAACCAGACCACTATAATAACATTTAAGAGAAAACACAGAATATATTACATCATTTTTTGAATAAAACGTAATTGTGAAAACACACAAACATGGTTTTTAGCCTTGTTGCACCCCAGAACTATGACCTAGAACAAATGCCAAACATCATAACCTCTCTGGGTCTCAATTTCCTGACTATACAATTATTTGAAAAAATTATATTTTTTATTTTTCCATAAAAGCATAATCCTGAATTAAGTTGTAGCTAAAATGTTGCTGGTATTTATACTGACTATTATTGTTACAAATATTAATTTAGAACTTAATATTACAACTTAATATCCCGTACCAAATTATCAATTTTCACTGTCTAACATTTAACATTTTATTTACCACCCCTAATAACCTAAAAATCAACTATGTACAGTTTTTTTATGTCTGTTGCTTATAATCAGGCATACCATGTAAGAATTATAACCTGAATTACAAATGCAGAAATAATTATTTAAAAAGTCCTTCTCCTGTTTATGCTTTATTGAATGTTTTAAATGCCAATTTCACACACAAGTATGAAATATTTATTGAATACTTTCTATACAACAAAATATACATTTTATTATATTTAATAGTTTTAGGAACCTTACGAGGAATGTGTAATCTCTGTTTTATGGATAAGGGATTTGGGGTAAGAGATGTCAAGCTCATCGTATTACTAATTTGTAGGGCTTGGATATGAATCTAGGGCCATTTTAACCAACATCCACTATATTCCCAATGAAATCCAGAAATAAAATTATAATATTTAGTGTTAGTAACATTTTGGTGATATGGACCCTATCATACATTATTGAAAGGAATATTATTGGAACTATTCCTCAGGAAGATAAAGAGCCTTGTAAAGCTTTACAATCTTGATTCTACAATTCAGTCTTAGGTACCTATCCAGAGACAATAATTAGAAATGTTATCAAAGGTTTATCTAAAGGACTTTTAATGAATTACTATTTTAATAACAAAAACTCAAAACAACTCAATATTCTACAAAAGAGTATTGGCTCAATAGCTAGTGTTGCATCTTTCACTTAGGTGTGTAAATATTATACAGATGTTTTTGTCGATGGTCATTTGTCAGCTTTGCATATGCCTGCCCTTCTCTTCACTTGACTGCCTCTGAAACTAAGCCTCACACTTCCTAAATACAGCCTTTCCACACCCTTCAATTCTCGGTGAAGTTTCTCTGCTCCCACAACATTCTATGTTCTTCCTCATGGTCATAAGTTATTGAAATGTTCTATGTGATGATTTTTCCACCAAACAATCTGCATTTTGTGAGTTAGGATGTCTCTTAGTCACAATTACTTCCTTAATGGCTTACACAGTGTTTTCAAAATTCGGAAACAGCACATTGAATTGACTAGAAATTAAACAATAAATTACATTCCTACTCAGCAGTTCAACTAAATTGAAAAGATGTTTTCAAGAGAGAAAAAAAAAAAAACTTTTTCAAGGCCAGGGAAGTGAAGAATCTAAGGACACAGTTAATTAAAGGAAAAGCTGTAAGAAAAGTCAAACATATTGACATTCAAAGTCAAAAGCTAAGCTACATCTGCATCTAAAAATATTTTATTGCTTCTTAATACACATGAAATACCATTTCTTTAGCATTATATGATTTTTAGGGAGAGGTTTATGAATAATACATTTACATATAAATATAGTTTCATATGAAAATCATGCATGCCAATTGAACTGTTAATTGGTGACTCACAGTCATACTCTGTTCACAATATGATATCTATACATAAGTGTATTATATTATTAAAATTTAATTGCAAATTTAGGGTAAGATTTAGTTTTTCTATAAAAGAAAGCAATTGCCACTAACTGCCTGACTGATGAACTCAGTGGGAATTCAACTTAAAGTTACTGATGTTGAATGTGATATGTGCTGTAGTCTATACATACTATGCAGAAAACCACACTGAAAAATATATTTTTGTTGTGAGGCAAGAAAATATTGATAACTCTTGTCTATGGTAAAACGGAAACTGAATTTCTTTACAGGATATGATTTGTAAATATCAAGAGAAGCAAGCAACAATATCTATTCACTGGCAAAAGATTACCACGTTAATGAAATAGAGGAATTGGCCTTGAGCCACTATGGGACAAAGGATGAGAGATTTGCAGAGCAACATGTGGAGAGGCTAAAACATGTAGCCATATTTCATGTAGGTAAATCAAAAATTGAAATTTTCAGAAAATACATGAACTTTTCACATTATGAAAGGCTTAAAACATTGTACAGGGGAAATAAACTTCAGTGGTTTAAAAAAATAGTGGAAGGGGGAGGAGAGAAGAATATGTCATAAGCAAAACTGGAAAGAGCAGCAATTGCTAATACATGCACACACACACACACACACACACACACACACACACACACACACACACACACCTACACCCATAAAGGATAAAAAGTAGGCATGAATGCATTTTTTGGCCTAGGTTTTGGAAATAGCACTGGACTTGCCATTGGATTTGAGTCCCAACTTTGCCAAGTAGCAATAATGTGGCCTTGAGTTTCTGTTTATCAGTTTGAGATTTGTTCTTTTTTTTGTTTTTCTTTAAAGAATGAAGGAGTTTAACTAGATATTTAATTTCCAAATTCCTTAAACTATAGGAGTCCTTTAAGATGGAAAACATGAGTCTGGGACAAGTTTTAAAAATATACATATATATCACTTTACCATATATGAAGAGGCATTGGACCATACCAGTATAAAAAGTGACATTTGCTTTTGGCAAGAATTATATAAACTTCTTGGGATAATGTTATGTTTTTTATGTTTATAAAAGTCTCTGGTGTAGTTTACTACATAAATATAAGTACATTAATATGCATATATATGTATAATAATAAAATGAAAAATAATTGGTAAATATACTTTAAATAAGTTAGTATCTTTAGAAAGAGAAAATACACTAGAGGAAATAATGTAGTGGTCCTTGGTAGCAAAGGTATTAATTATCTGTAGACTCCCAAATCTTCTTACTTAAGGGTTCTATTTTTAAGCAAAATGTATGCATTCCTGCATAGACTTTAATATGGGTCATATTGTGAACAGGATGTAATATGAGTACAGACTAAAAATCAAGGAACTGTGTTCTTTTAACTATCACCACAATGAAATGATCCCTGAAGAGAAATTATTTAGATTTCATTAAATGGCTGCTGTACAGGCAGAAAGCTGAGTTAGAACATTTAAACAATTATTACATCCATGACCTTGACTGAATTTCTGATTTTAAGTTACCAGCATCAAAAGAAAAAAAAAAAAAAAAAAAAAAGTGACGTGTACCAGGGTCTGAATCTGTCACCTTGCTTAA